ATAAATACTATTAAATTATATTAGTCAATTATCCTCACACATCACATCAACTTTAATTCATTATTCATCAACTCACATAATTTTAACTATTTATCACCTCCAATAATATGTCTCCTACTTTTACATCATATCAACATTAATCGTTACATTTTAAATATTAATTAATTATAAAGTCAAAATCACTCACACAATCAACTAATCAAAACAACTCACTTTAACCAACCAATTTGATCATAACCGATTGGATTCATATCTAACAACGCCCTAAGCTAACCAAATAAGTTAGAAGTTAGTTTATTGTGCTTACCAAACACACTCTTAATTAGAGCTGTCAAAACGAGCCTAGGCCCTCCAGAGAACGGGCCTACGCGGGTTGGGGTGGGCTAACCCGCGGGCCGACCTGCCAAGTTAAAATCTATATATATGTAATGTTGGATGGCAATTAAGCATGTTTTTTGTAGCATGTTTTTTTTTTTTTTTAAGTTCAATTGGCCCAACATCATTACTATTCAGTCACATTATTTTTTGAGAATTTTGCACTCCATACGAGAAGATTCCTCAATTTTTGTAACTCTACCATAGTAACTAAAATAATTGCGTATCTACCTAAATCAACATATTTAATTAGATTAATGTCTAAATAAGTTATCACATTATTTCCAACGCCCTCCCCTTGTTATCCGCTTAAATTACCGTTTTATTCTGGAAAAAAAAATCTCTACATATTATGAAGCAGATCAACCTTATTGCTCGATAGCCCTCCTAAAAACGCGGCTGAGATGATGACTGATTGTTGTTCACCGACAAGGGGCTGACGAAGAGGGTTGCCGAAATCTGAGGGAATCTATGGCGATGGGAAATCTGTTGCTGCGTTGTTGTCGTCACCGGTGGTGGTGGCTAGTACGGGCGGTTGGGTAAGGGGTGACGACAAGGTAAAACCGAGAAGGGCTTGGGATTATCTTCTGAGCGATTTCTCAAAGGTTGGGAGCTCTGAGATTTTTGTACGATGAGGTGAACGATGATGAGAGAGAAAGAGTATATATGCAGTATATGTACAATATATGATCCGCGTCCCTGTCAAAAAATAAGAATAAATTTCGACCAGAAAAGCGGATGGAGACACACATATACAGAAAATATACATAAAATATACTCTTGAGTTTTAATCGATTCTCAAATCAATTTCAAAACTCACATATACATAAAGTATATTTGCAGTATATTTGCAATATTATGGTATATGTACAGTATATTTGCAGTATATGTTAAAGAAATATATATAGGCGATGAAGATTTTGTGAAATTTCGTACTCTTTGCCCGATTTTCTGAAATTACGCGCTAGGAACATGGAAGGTTGTTCCACTTACCTTGTAACTGATTTTAGGCATGATTATAATTAATATTTATCTTTTAGGTATATACACAATTTAATTGGTATGGATGGTAATATTGCAATTATCTAAATATCGTGTAGCATAGGTCAAAATAGCCCTTATTTTTTTTAAAAAAAACAAAATAAAGAACTGGGCTGCAGCCAAGCCAACCCAATATTAGAAGGTTGGACTATCTGCAACCCAAGATAATTAAAAAAAAAAAGTAGAGGTGGTTCCTCGAGAATATAGAAGTGGTTAGCCCATTGAACATAATATTTTTGTCTAAATATGTATTAATAAATAACGATACCAGGAGTTTTTTTTTTTTAGACTTTGAATTGTTCTTAGTCTTTTACTAATTGTAGATCACAAATTCAATTGTTTTGGTCAAATTATTGGTTTTCTGAAACTTAAGATTGAGAAATTGAGAAAAATCAAACACCACGACATGCCTATCTTATATGAACACAAGCACTCACATTATATTATAGATATACTTACTGCTAATTTGTATTGAAAATGATTATTTCTAATAGCCACTGGAAAAGATTGATTTGTAAAATGAAGTATTCATAAATAACTTCTTGATTTTCACAACATAAAAAATTGAGAAAAATTTTCTGCAACTCTAGATTACATGTTCTGTAATAATAATAACCGCCATTTCAAATTGAATGAATTTCTATCATCCACATAAAATTGTTGCATGTCATTAAGGTTATTTGAGTAAAGTTTTTCAATTGTAGCTTTAATGGTTTATTCTGTAATAATAATAATCATTTCGTATTTTTATGAAAAAAATTATTAACATGCAACATCAATGTAAAATACAAAATACATGTGGATTAAAGGATACACTGAAATTTATGGATGTTTCTTCTTTATATTTTAACAAGAATAACAAATTTTGCTAACCCTCTACATCTTGCTCATGTGTTCGTAGGAAGACCGAATTCAAGGTTCCATTAAACAAAAAAATAGAGATACCAAGATGAATCTTGTGGAGGGAAAAAAATTATTTTTCAATAAATGAAAAACTCTAGTTTTTGTTATCGGACGCGTAAACATTGATTTTGGTTTAAAAATATTAGTTTGTGAATATACTGTGACGGTCATACCATCAATCTACTTAGAATGATATTTTTAATAATATTAAAATAAATTTTATTTTTTTGTAAATTGATTTGCAAAAACATAAACTTTTAATTAATAATAACTTACTAAAATAATTGTATAGACCCACATTTTCGTACATCGCACGGGTTTAATACTAATAATAAAAAAGGTGTTCCTATTTAATTTCAGGAACTAAAATATTAACTAGTGTCACACTATAGAAATCAAATAATTATAACTGATTAAAAAAATGAAAGCAAAAATTTTAATTATGTCTCAAATGTGTCTCTCAAGTGATTTGTCTTATGTTAGGTAGATCTAACCATTATGGCTATGTTTGTAAAACTAGTTGATAAGCTAGCTTATAGCTGATATGTAATTATTGAGCTTATAGCTTATAGCTTATGATTTATAACTGATAAGCTAGCTTATATGATAGAAGTGTTTGGTAAAATTAGCTGAAATAAAAAATTCAACTAGCTTATTTGAAAAGCTACCTAAAGTAGCTTATGAGATAAGCTCGAGCTTTTTAAAAAGGCTCGTCCTACCACACGAGCCTTATTTGAATACATGAAGCTTATAAGTTAACTAAATAAGCTATAAGCTAACTTATTTGGCTTACCAAACATAGCCTATACCGACATATTTTTAATATATTTGTATATTTATATTAGAAAATGTCATACATTGAAAACAACGTAAACACAAGTATGTCTTTTGATTGCAGTATGCATTTTTATGCAAAGAATACAACAGCTGCTTAATGATTAACATGTCTTACTTAAAAAAATTTGTTCTCTAAAATATTTATATCTACTATTAAATAAGGGCTTTATACAATCTTTAAAGTTTAAGATTTAAAGCGGGTTGGGTTGACATCTACATGGGCTTAAAACTATCAGCACAATCCAACATACCATGAAATGATTGTGGAGAAAATTGAACAAGCGTAAATCACGTGGATAAAGAGATATCATTAACCAAGGAAAATGCAAATTATATTCCAATTTATGTAGACCTAATTAGGATTGACTTGCTAAAGTTCGAGCAAGGGCCACCTTAAATTAACCAAACAGTTAAGGTTTGCTGAAGCTAAAAAATATGAATTTTTGTGTATTTTTTTGCAAATTACGACTTAATACTCATTAAGGTTCAAACTCATTTTATTAATATTTATAAATCAACGAAACTTAAGTTCTTTATTGATAAGAAAACCGAGCTAGAACTACTGATCTTCAAGCATGGGTTCGAGAATTTATCGAACCTAATTGATAACTAAACGAGTAGTATAAAATATAAATTCAGACTCGTCACTCGAGTTTTTATTAAGTTGATCCGTATCTCGTTAACTATACAAATAACAAACGAAGTCTTAAATTGGCTGGTCTTAAATCCAACGTTTACATCCCGTCACTCACAACCTAACTATTCTACATTGTTTTTTTATTTCTTTGTTTACAGAATTTATTATGATTTTACTAAAAACAAACCTTTAATTAATTTGGGAAATTTTAAAGCCACAATTTCTAGAGAGATAGAGTTGATTAATGATGTGAAAGAAACCGTTCCCAAATTGCAAACTCCCAAAGCTCAAAAATGTCCTCAGCCGGTGGGACCCACCACCTGATATTTACCATTTACAGATAAAAAAGGACCATCCGAATGAGAATCATCCCCCACCGCCCACATGCGCGCGTTGTCCACAAACGCGACCACTCGCCTAAAAATTCCCCCCACGTGCGGAGCAAACTCGCCAATCGAGTTGCCCAACCAAACCCCCAAATCACAACCCGACCCGAATCACAGTACCTTTTACCAACGAACTAATAATAATAAAGACAAGAAAAAAGATGATACAGTCACGGAGAAAAAGGTAGGAGAAGCTAGAGAGACGCAAATCCAAAAATTTATTCGTGAATCAAATCGCCCCGATTTTTCAAATCCCACTATTTTTATTCCACATTCTTTATTATATACACACAGAATTTGTTTCTTCTTTTCCTTTTTTTACAGCATCACATTCGATAAAATCACACAAGACCCAGAGTTTTTCCCCAACAAAAAATGAAAAACCCAAATAAAGAAAGAAAAGAGTGAAATTGATGGGTGGGATTAGACAGAGAAAGGGGAATTATTGTTTTTGTTTTTGGGTTTGTGGGTTTATATTATTTCAGCTCTTTGAATTCTGTACTCATTGTCCTTTCCTTGCTTTTATCCTAACTCACAGCACCGAAGAAAACAAGAAAGTTCAGAACTTTTATACGGAGTAATTATTAATTTTTGGTACAGCTACTCGTAGTGGCAGCAGAACTGTTGGCTTTTTAATTTTTTATTTTTTATTTTGGTTATTTGGTTCGCGAGTGTTGTATCAGTAATTCAGTAGCTGAAGTTTTAATGGTAGTTTATTTTATTGTGGTATTGACACAAATCTTCACCGCACATCCTTGTCAAACTCGAGCTTCTGTAGGTATGTTACTGTGACCAAAAGATTATCTTGAGCTAGAGAGAGAGAGAGAGAGAGAGAGAGAGAGGATTGCTCAAACTTTACTCTTCTTCCTTTTCTGTACACTTTATTGTTTCTGTTTCGAGTTAGAGGAAATGGGTAGAAGGGATTTCCTAATTTTGAAGATAATCCAGAAGCCCTAGGTTTTTTGGGATATGGGTTCTGAAGTTCTTGCTTCTGTTGTTCAATGGAGGACGATTTGTTGTGAAGTGCTGATCAGTTTGAGCTCTGATTTTTTGTTGAGCTGATTAATTTATTCTGCTTTCGAAGATAGTGGGTTTGGGCGTTTGGGATTTTGGAGTAGGATGGATATAGATGAAGAAGGTGGAAAAGGAGAGAGTGGCGGCAAAGGAGATGGTGGTGTAGGTGTGGAGGCGGAGAAGAACTGGCCGGAGGTTGAACGGAAGGTGAAGCGGAAAATGAAGACTCCTTTTCAGTTGGAAGTTTTAGAGAAAATTTATTCCAGTGAGTTCCATTTATAGTTTCCTGTTTATATCTCAAAATTTTTAAGCTCTGTCGTTAACTTGTTATTAATTATTACTAACATTATTATTATCACTGTTAGTTTTCTCTATTTTTTTTATTTTTTTTTAAGTTTCGATTTATTTATTGATAAAATTCTCTTAAACTGAGCTATTTTATAGTTGAATTTTGGTGGAAGGCCCGAGCATTTTCGTGCAAACTGTAATGTAGATAGCCTAGAATCTGTAAATTTCAAGCATTTTTCTACAATTAGGTTTAGTTTTACATATTTCGACTACTTAATTCATTGATTGCCTAATGAATTTTCATGTGCAGTCGATTCACACCCTTCAGAGGCCCTGAGAGCCGAGCTTTTGGTCAAATTAGGCCTCACTGACCGGCAGCTCCAAATGTGGTTCTGCCATCGGAGGTTAAAAGACCGAAAGGCCCCCACAAAGAAGAAGCTAAAAAGGAGTGCCTTATCATCCCCTGACGGTATTGCTCATGAAACGGTGATAAAAATTGCTGACGTGGCGAAAGGTGGCTTCCTGGGCTTAGATATCTATGGGAACACGAATGTGCAACACAAGCAGCAAATGAGAGTAGCTCATAAAGTTGGGACAGCTGTGCCTAGAATATCAATGGAGTCACCGCCCATGAGGAGGCTCTATGAGCCGCCATTAGCCATATCAGAACAGAGAGCGATTAAGTTTGTGGAGGCACAGTTGGAGGAGCCATTAAGGGAGGATGGGCCCATTTTGGGAATGGAGTTTGACCCATTGCCACCTGGCGCATTTGGTGCACCGATTGGTAATATCTGTTTCCATAACATTTGGGTTTCAATTTTTTTATATGCTCTTAGGTTTGTGATTTAGTTAGTTTCATGCTTTTATGCTCAAACATGTTTTTTTTTATTGGAAATATATGCTTGGCTAGTTTCATGAATTTCAATCCTGTGTTGTTCACTCCCTAGCCGGGTGTAGATTTTGGTGGCAATTATCTTTTTTTTTTTAGATTAATTGATTGAGTTGAACTGATGCAGCTTGTTAGTAGATAGTTATTTGCCAACATTTTGTGGGGGTAAATAGTTGTCGTTTTCCATTAGTTGAAGACTTCATGTGAATGAAACCACCAGATTCAGTTGTCTCACTGATGGGAATTTGTATTGCCTTAGTCATATGTCTAGGCGTCCCAATTATTGTAGAACCAGTTGAATAGATAAATCAGGCTTTTGAGGAAGTTTTTTTGGATTTATGCAAGAAGTTGGGAAGTGATTCCTGGATCAACACCTATTTATAATTTGAAGAGGACATTAATGCTGGTTTGCAAGTGAGATAAGTAGCTCATCTATACAGTGCGTATTTGTGCAAATGAATGTGGCTCAATTGCAAAGAAGTTCCTTCTGGAACCACACAGAATCAGTAAAATAGTATAAAACTGAGCATCTCTCTTCCCCGCCGACATAATGAGAGGTTCAATGACAGTTTTTGCTCGAATTTTACAAATTTTTAGTGAAACATAGTTCTCAAATATTTAAACTTTTCACAGCCACTCGTATATGATTAAATTGCTAAATGTGCCTGTCTTTGGGACTTTTCACAGCCACTCGTAACCATGCAATTATTCTTTTCCTTCACCTTCTTAGTTGTATGGTTATTGTAATTTTCATTTATTAAATTTTTAAATTTTTGTTTATGTATGCGTATAACATTCCATGTCAGTATGTTACTAACCTGACAATTTTTCATGGAAACAGTTTCATCAGAACAACAGAAAGTAGCTCGGCGGTCTTATGATCCCCAATTATACGAGAGGGTAGAAGCTAAACCAGTCAAGGTTAGGAACCTTCTTTGGGAGCCTCTTTAGTACTAATTTGTTAGATGAATCAAGATTCTTCATGGTATTCCGAGCAGTTCCTTTTCTATATTCTATTGTACAGTTTAATCGTATATTGTTNTTATAAATATGATGGGTTTTCGCCATAGCTCTTTGTGCCTACATCTTCTGCTATGTGCGACTTCTTATTCTTTCATTGTGTACGTCTGTAATATGAAACTTGAAAGTGCATATTGAACAAATAATAATAATAATAACAATAATCTTGACCATTTATCAAATTGTCTATATACTACTCCCTTTGAGCTAGCTTTTGGGGATGAGTTCTACTCAAGCCCACTTATCATTTTGAAAGTACCACACTGCTCCTTTTACTTTTATAAAACCAATAATTGTGTTTTCTTATACTCTGTGAAAATCAATAAACTTATATTTGTGGTTCCAGAAAAGGTAGTTGTTTTCTTGCGAAGATGAACTAACTAGCTCAGAACCTGCATCTACATTTCTTTCTGTATGAACAAAATTGTCCCCATATATTGTAGCTATTTATTTCTTTCCTTTCATCTAAAATATGGTTGGAACACTAAAATCTGTTTTTATTCAGGGTACTTCAAAAGCTCTTCACGAATACCAATTTCTCCCAGAGAAGCCATCTGCTAGACATGATGACACCTATGACAGAGCTACGCTGCAACATTTTTATGGTTTGCCTAATCCAATATCCAACACAAGATCTGTGATGCACTGCAATGAGCAAGTATCCTCTGAATATCGCCAAAATCAAACTCCTGGCTTACATATTTTTCCTCAACAAAGCATGCGGGAGGTTTGCTTGTCTCGAGGGCCCAGGGAAGTTGATATTCCTCCTTCAATGGGCTCCATGCCGAATGCCAGCATTGATGCTCATCTTTTTGTTCGCCAAGTTACTGAGTTGGCTGGTAAAAGTATAACACCAGATAGGCGCATCATACTTGACCATGAAAGGTTGGAGAGGAAGTGGAAGGTGCTTCTCTCTCTCTCTCTCTCTCTCTCTCTCTCTCTCTCTCAATTCGATTCTTTTTAATCCAACACGAGCATATTCTCTTGTGATAGATGTGCAGCAATAAATGGATACTCCATAGCTATCTATTGCAATGCAGACCGTCAAGCAAATGGTTTACTTAGCCTTTGTTTTATATCAGCTCAATTCAGGACAGTTCATTAGATTCTGCTTAAGGATAGGTTGATTGTTCCTCAATGCTTTCTTGCATTATGAATCACAGGCTGAAGAGGCTAGAATAGCCAAGGAAGTCGAAGCTCATGAGAAAAGGATAAGAAAAGAGCTAGAGAGACAAGATATTTTGAGAAGGAAGGTAAATTAAATTATTCAGCTCCTTCCCTCTTCTTTTACTGTGGTTTATGTTGCCTTCAATTTTCACGGCTTCTAAGTTGAATAACTTTGGTTTGTCTGTGCAATGATCTTTTGCTGACAACTTTATTGATTAATCTGTAGAGAGAAGAGCAGATGAGGAAAGAGATTGAAAGACAGGACCGTGAACGGCGGAAGGAGGAGGAGAGACTGATGCGTGAAATGCAGCGTGAAGAGGAGAGGTTCCTCAAGGAGCAAAGACGTGAGATGGAAAGAAGGGAAAAATTCCTACGAAAAGAATACATAAGAGTTAATCCCAATTCCTTCTTGGTTGACCTATTCATGTACTTTTTTTATCCCACTAAGATGGGCGTGTTGTCAATTTTGTCCATCTCGTATTATAGGCTTGTATCTCTCAATGTAACATTAGTTACTTAGCAATTTCACTGAAATACTTCTCTTTAATACACTTAATTTCAATTGTAACTTAATATTGTAGCATTTACAGCAAAGGTAGCATAGGAAGAATTAAAAAAGGTTCACTTGAGGGAAAAAACTCCATTTAGTAAAAGAACTCTTTATTGGTGTGATCTCCTATTTTTTGCAAAGAGAGTATTTTTTTTTTTGGCTTGAAGGATCAGAAAAGGAAAAGAGTCCTGTTCTACTCGGAGAATGATTTGGAAGTTGGAACATCAAAACTCAAGAAATAATGTTTTTTCAATCTGTGGGAAATATTCTACAAAGCTATCTCAGCTGGCCTGAGGGAGAGTACTTTCATTTTTAATCTGGTAAGTTGCAATGTGAAACATGGTCATTTTATGATCTCTTCTATCTCAGGCAGAGAAAATGAGGTATAAAGAAGAAATGCGCCGGGAGAAGGAAGCTGCAAGGCTGAAAGCTGCAAACAATAGGACGGCTGCTCGTAAAATTGCAAAGGAACCAACAGAACTGGTTGAGGATGAAAGATTGGAACTCATGGAGCTTGCAACCTTAAGTAAGGCATTACCATCGATTTTGGCTCTAGACAGTGAAACATTAGAGAACCTCGACTTACTTAAAGGTGTTTACCGGTTTTCCTCCACAATAATACTCTTCTGGTCTCTTTTTCTTACTCAGTCGATGCAGTTTTGCATATTCATGTGAAATGTTACAATTTTATATGTTTAAGTTTGGGTGGATTATGTTTTTTCTGGCAAATAAGCTCCTGGTGAATGTTATTTCTTTAGGAAAGCTCCCAGAGTTCCCGCCTGAGTCGGTGCCCTTGAAAAGGCCTTTCAAAGGCCAGCCTTGGACTGATTCGGAGGAGAATATCAGCAATGTTTTAATGGTGAGATGACTTTTCCATCTCCCAGTTGAGTTTTAATCCATTGTAATGATCATTACTGCTAGTGTGTTGTTGCACTACTATAATATTTTCTTTCTTTTCTTTTCCCGCTGTATTTGTCACGATGTGTTAATTGATTGTTTATAGTAACCGATACCAGCTCATTGCCTATATTAGTCCATATAATAATCGGACGAGATATATCTTACAGAGAGAATCTTATACAAATCATTCAGTTTTCAGTTGATATACATCATAGTGTTTATTTTGGGATTAATTGGTTAACACACTTCCAGATTACGGCAAACTTAGTTTTGGTTTTTAGTCATAACTTTATGTTAATTGGACAAGATTTAGAAATTTTCCAAGTTGTATGTTGTCGTTCTCCTGTATAAAACATAATTTTCTTGTATACTATACATTATTTGATAGCTTCTAGATTTCACTTAAAAATAATCTAGTTTCCACGCACATCTGGGGAGCATACACAAATCATCGGCTTTCTTATGACTTCATGGGTTATTCTCATTTGGGGTACTCGTGTTGTGTGATATTATGTTAGGTTTGGAGATTCTTAATTGCTTTTGCTGATGTTCTTGGGCTCTGGCCATTCACATTGGATGAGTTCACTCAAGCTTTGCATGATTGTGTAAGTTCTTAAAATTCCTTTCTTCAAAATTTATGTTACAAAGTTACACTATATTTGTGCAGGGCTTAGATTATTATTCTAAACCCCGAGTGGAAAAACGTGCTTGCAGGATCCAAGGTTGCTTGGAGAGATCCACTTAGCTCTTTTGAGATGTATCATAAAAGACATTGAAGATGTCGCAAGGACACCTGCCAATGCAATGGCAGCAAATCAAAGTTCCGCATTTAACCCTCTCGGAGGGCATCCACACATTGTTGGAGGGGTGTGTGTGTGTGTTTTTTTTTCTGTCGTTTTTGCATTGATTTTTGGTTGCTTATCCATTTTCCGTTAGTTATTCAGTTCTTATAATTTGTGACAGGCATATGCTTGGGGCTTCAATTTGCTTAGCTGGAAGCACCTCTTGACCTCATTAACTTGGCCTGAAGTCTTGCGGCAATTTGCTCTGTCAGCCGGTTTTGGGCCAAAGTTGAAGAAGCGGAATACAAAGCCAACTCTTGCGCACGATGATAATGAGGCACTAATTTTTTTTTATTTTTTTTTCAATTTACTAGAGCTTCTTGCACGTTGATTATATCTTAACTGTATCTACATGTCCCCATTTTTTATACTATAAGCTCCAAAAACTTCTTCTCTGAGAACCTCTTGATGTGATTCTTCCAGTTTTGGTGATATTTTAATAAATCTGATTTTTATGCAACTGCAGTGTGATGATTGTGCAGCTGCAATATCCGATCTGCGAAGTGGATTGGCTGCTGAGAATGCTGTGACTCTTATGCAAGAAAAGGGTTTTTCCCATTCTCGAAGAAAATCCAGGCATCGGTTGACTCCTGGAACAGTCAAATATGCAGCATTTCATATTCTAACGCTGGAGGGAAGCAAGGGACTTTCAATACTGGAAATTGCTGACAAGATCCAGGTAATAACTATAATGGTTTAGTGTTGATCACAAACGGTATTCTTTGAGTTTTGACCAAATTGCTAAAGTACCCTGCCAAGTTTCAAATTAACAAAGCACCCCCGGGATATTATTGTCTTTGCATTTAACTCTTTGCAAGCAAAGAACTTCCAAACGCTCTTCTTATTTTAAAGCTAACCCAAACTTCATGATAAATATGTAAATTTCAACTTCAAGTGTTTTTTTTTTTTCAGAGCTGAAGTCTAGATAATGTAATTATTCGATATAGTTTACTGACATTTATCAGTATATCTTATTATATTGCTGACTCGAATTTATTCTTTTTATATGAAGAGATCCGGACTCAGGGATCTAACGACGAGCAAAACACCTGAAGCTTCCATTTCTGCTGCTTTGTCAAGGGACACAAAGCTGTTTGAGAAAACAGCCCCTTCGACTTACTGTGTACGCTCCCCCTACAGAATGGACCCTTCTAACGCTGAAGAGATTCTCTCGGCCGCCAGGGACAAAATCCTCGCTTGCCAAAACGGAGTTTTAGAAGAAGAAGAAGATGAAGAAGAAGCTGAAAAGGTAGACTTCGCAAGGGATCAAGAATCCGAAAGTGATGACGTGGATGATCCCGATGTTGACTTGGATGCTGCGCCAAAACCGAACGAAGCTTCTCATCATGGCAAAAATTCCATAAATGCCCTTGGAAATTTGGAAAGTGGTGTGAACTTGGATCGGTTGGTTAATGAGATCAAGACCAAAGGAGAAACTAGCGCTCCAGGCGTGGAAAGTATTGGAGTTGAGCCTGAGATTGTTGGTCATGATCTCGATAACATTATAAATGATGAATGTGGTTTAGGAGAACAATGGGTTCAGGGGCTTACTGAAATGGAGTACGCGGATTTAAGCACCGAAGAGCGTCTAAATGCGCTTGTTGCCTTGGTCGGCATAGCGAATGAAGGGAATGCTATCCGTATTGCATTGGAGGTAATTTTGTGGTCTCTAGGCCTACGGGATTTTTGGTTTAAAAGTTTAGGGCGTGCTTGGATACAAATATATCCTCTCACAGCGTGTTTTCTTATTTTTAAAAAAGATGATATGGTTAGTTGTTAGTTGGATTTTGAGTTTATATTAAAATAATTAAAGTTGATTTGATGTAAAAGTAGGAGAGATATGATGTGAAGTGATGGTTAGTTAAAATTATATGAGTGAATGAACAGTGAATTAAAGTTGACGTGATGACTAAGAATATGATTGGTTGATATTATTTAATCATATTGATAATATTGAGGATAGTGAGGTCGAGTTAAAGTTGAGAAGATTTTTTTTAGTTTTTTCTAGAAATTTGATAAGCAAACAAAGCCTAAATTTGTATACATACAAGTTCAACTAGATGCAATATAATAATAAAACATGAGTCCTTTTTCGAGTCATGATTTGGCATCTAAAGTAATAAGTAGAGAAAATTCTTGATACTACAGCATAACAAAGATTCTGAATCCAAACATCACACTAAAGGATGACCCTTTCTGCTTTCTCGTATCAACTCATTGCTATAATTGTTTGAGAATCTTTTTCAGGAACGACTAGAGGCAGCAAATGCGCTAAAGAAGCAAATGTGGACCGAGGCCCAGCTTGATAAACGTCGAATGAAAGACGAGCACATTTTGAAGTTCCAGCATCCATCATCAATCGAGCACAACAGAAGCCCAATGTCGAGTGTGTATGTGAAAAACAAGTCATCATTAACGAACTCCGTGTTCCGACTGTTCGACTTGAACAACGATCATCAGGATGAAGAAAATTATTGTAATAGCAGTATTACTGAAAAGAAGCCACGATCACAGCTAAAAGCTTTAATCGGTCACTGGGCTGAGGAGATTTACATATATAGATCATTGCCTTTGGGAGAGGACCGGAGAAGAAATCGGTACTGGCAGTTCATGACATCTTCATCCAAAAACGATCCAGGATCTGGGAAACTATACGTCGAGTTATGCAATGGCACTTGGAGAGTTATTGATTCAGCAGAGGTACACTTCTTTTACGTGTTTTTTTCGGTTCTCAGCTATAGTGAGTGTTATGCATTTTAGATATAGGATGATTGTTCCGATTATGATAGTGTAGAGATCATAAAATAGTAAATGTGAGAAATGAAACTGAATTTTGATGAATAATAATGAACAGTCTGAAATGATACTCTGGTATGCTCGTCAGACATTGTATTGTCTGCCCCAATGCTCATCCAAGCCACTTTATTTTGATGATTAACACTCCTAATTCAATGCCCTTAGCTTAGCTACTAGTATGCTAAAATAATCTTTTTCATTTACTTGTACAGATAGCCAATATAAACTTTATGTTAGTTCTCTGCTAATTATATTCCTTATTCGCTCGAAGTGAAACTTAGAAATTCTGTTGTTGATAACAACTCTTTTATCATCTTTTATTTTTGTTTTTTTTTTTTATTCATGCAATGGATACTGGGATTCTTTGTCTAACTGAGGCATCTGCTTGTAATTGAACGATTTAACTTTATACTCGTAGGGTTTTGATGCTCTGTTGTCATCTTTGGACGTTCGTGGGATTAGAGAATATCATTTGCATTCGATGTTGCAAAATATTGAGGGTTCTTTCAAAGAATCAGCCAGGATTAACTTGTTACGGTCAAATTCCATTCTCCATTCTGGTGAAGATTTCACGAAAGAAGTCAAACACAGGATGGACTTGTATTTTGAGCTTGAAAACAATATAAACAAGGAAAACTGGGTCATGGCTAGACATAAGGATTTCAATTGGCTTTGGAAAGAATGCTTCGATTCTAACATATCGGGTGCCTTAAAGTTTGGGACAGTTAGGCGTGAAAGGCTGCTGGAGATTTGCACGTCATGTCATGGCTTGTTTTCTTGGGAGGATATTCACTGTCCTTCCTGTCATAGGACTTACAAAACATCAGATATACATTTCAGTTTCGCAGAACACGTTAGCCAATGTGAAAGGAAAATGAGTGAAGGGATTATTAAAGGGGTCTCACTCGATCTTTCGCTGCCCCCGAGGGTTAAATTGCTGAAAGCACAGTTAGCTTTCATTGAGGTTATGTCTGTAAGCTCATTTCTAATAATTTGTCTGTAAGCTCAGGTAATTTCAGTTTTTAACTTGCATAATTTTTTTATTTTTTTATTTTTTTTTGTAGGCCTCGATTCCTGCAGATGCTTTTAATACTGTTTGGTCAGACGAGTATAGGAAATCTTGGGGTAGAAAGCTGTATGTGGCATTAACAGCCGAAGACCTTCTTCAGGTTTTCTAACATTTCCTCATAACTGTACTTTTTTTTTTTTCCTTTATGATGAAATGCATCTCAATTGTCTTTATTCACTCAAATTTAACATTTACGTGGACTTCGATTGGCTGCTATATCAGACACTGACATTGCTTGAAGATAGCATCAAAAGAGAGTTCTTGTCATCAAATTACGAAACCACATCCGAGCTGTTGAACTCATCCGAAGCTTTCGGCAATTGTGTCGAAACTTTGTGTATGCTTCGACAGGTTTCATTACTTCCTTGGATACCTCGTACAATGCCAGCTGTCGCTTTAAGGCTTATGGAACTCGACGTATCTATTTATTACAGCCCCGACCAGAAAGCGACTCGTCAAAAAGAACATCATGAAGCTGCACATTTCTCTGTAAGATTTATCATTTTTGTTGCATTCTATACTGTTACCAGTAAAATTTCTTTTACCACAGTAATTAATTTGCATATCTGCAGAAATTTCCGATGAACTACTCGTCTAGTTGGGCCGAACCTGTAAATGGGCCCACGATCTTGAAACGTGGCCGTGGACGCCCGAGAGGGCCCAGCCGCTCGGCCCGTTTAGTCTCAAAAGCCCAGAAAAAGCCCATCGTAAATCGTCGTGTCAAACAATCAAACGTGGGCCCAACAAAAGATCACGAAAACGATAATTTCCCATCACTCCCCACCTGGAAAGGCCGGAAGAAAAGTCGCCAGTCGACCGCAGGCCGGAAAGAAAGAAGGGGCAGTGGCAGGGGTAAAATCGTCTTTTGCGACACTGCCGTTTTACGGCAAGAGAGGAATATGGGTGAGGCCGGTGAAAATGCCGCCAGTAGTTTTGGACGATCGGAATTCAATGAGGGCGATGACGAAGAAGTCTCGGCTGCCGGTTTTTTGAGCAGTGTCGGGCTCGATAATTATGACGGTGTTGTCGATGATTATTACGATGAGTGTAATGAGGAGCAAAACCGGGCAAACGGTGGAGGGCAAAATGGGGATTTTGATACGAGTTCAGATGGCGGTTCATCTCCTGAGTCGGAATATAGGTATTAACGAGATAGGCAAATGCTACAATGGAAAATGTTGATAGCGTAGTGTAGCTAACTTGAACTGGTTTTAAGTTGTGGTTTTGGGATGTTGTTGAGGTTGGGGATGAATGATTTTTGCTGCTAATTTTTGTAGGGAACTTTATCGGAAAATAAAAAATAAAATGACTATAATATATAATACCGAGGCCTGTGTGAACATAGTGTCCTTAAAACAGATTCGTCTCGTATGAGCGTCTGTTTCCCAGGATACAATGGAAAAGATCGAAACGAATCCGGCGAACTGAAATTATGTATGAACCAAACACTTAGAAAATGGGGAGGAAAAATTTTAGAAATATTATATTTTTCTTTCTTGGTTTTTCACTCTCGTGTGTCTATTTAAAACACAAAGAAACGCTCTATTTATAAAGCCTAAAAGATGAAATCCAAAACCAAATATTAACTCTCAAACTTTAATGAAAAGGAGTTAATTAACACTTTAAAACATTAAACTTAACATCTTGTAACATTAAATTTAAAATCAAGTCACAAGAGTTAAGTTAAGTTAAGTTACACAATTTCATTCAATTAATTTTTCCAACAATCCCCCACATGAATGAAATTCAAAAATACATGTTATGGTCCGACAATTGAAACCTGCATAGGATAGGTTGGTGTTACCCTTTGAACCTTCCCTTGTGAAAGCACATTAACTTTACTAGCTGACCAGTAGACGCGATGTCTTTGAAATGTTCTGTCTTTTGTATAAACGATAAATATACTTCACACAGGATTCTCCATAACATATTCCAGTTCTCATTATTATGTCCATTAGTGGCCTTGGACATAGCCTGGTTCTGTAAGAGGGTCTAAGAATTGAGCCCCACACAATTCTCTTCAAAGCGGCCTCACTTCTCTCTCACATAGGTGATTCTTAATTACAAGTAGCCCGTACTACCTTCCCATACAAGAATCATTAAAAGCCAAATGCTTATCCTACTCACCACGGGTATCACTGTTTAAGGAATGGACAATGGATAATATCCCACAGTGAACACAAGAGTCTTTTTACAATTAGGTTGTCCCTTTGAACCAAGATCTTGGGATCTCCAGTCAACAAGGTAGGGTTTCCATTGTATCAACTCATTTCTAGAGGCTTAAGTCCCATTCCTCTCAAAGATTTAGCAACCAACTCTCGATTTAACCCTTTGGTTAGCGGATCCGCAATATTATCTTTTGACTTCACATAGTCAATAGATATCGTACCAGTTGAGAGTAGTTGTCTAATGGTATTATGTCTTCGACGGATATATCTAGACTTACCATTATACATATTACTTTGTGCCCTGCCTATAGCCGATTGACTATCACAATGTATACAAATGGTTGGCACTGACTTTGACCATTTTGGAATATCTTCTAAGAAATGACGAAGCCATTCTGCCTCTTCTCCACTTTTGTCCAATGCTATACACTCTGACTCCATTGGCAATAACAGTCTGCTTAGAAGATTTCCATGATATGGCTGCACCTCCCAAAGTGAATAAATATCTACTAGTGGATTTAGAATCTTTCATATCCGATATCCAGTTGGCATCACTATAGCCTTCAATTACAGCTGGATATTTACAATAGTGCAGACCATATTTACAAGTATATCTCAAGTATCTGAGTAATCTCACAATTCCTTTCCAATGTTCATCTCCTGGATTACTTGTATATCTACTCAGTTTACTCATGGCAAAGGCGATGTCGGGTCTAATACAATTCATTAGATACATCAGACTTCCTATCACCCTTGAATATTCGACTTGAGAAATATGTTCCCCTTTATTTTTCGACAGATGTTGACTTGTATCTATTGGGGTCCTAGCCTGAGTCGAATCATCCTTGTTAAATTTTTGAAGGATTTTCTCCACATAATGTGTCTGACTCAGAACAATTCCTTGTGATGTTATATGAATTTTAATTCCAAGAATCACATCAGCTAGACCCATATCTTTCATGTCAAATCTTGAATTTAACATATCTTTTGTGGATTTAATAATTTTATCATTGCTTCCAACAATAAGCATGTCATCTACGTAAAGATATAGGATTACATAACCCTTTTCTGTGTCTTTAACATAAACACATTTATCACATTCATTAATTTTAAATCCACTTTGAACCATGACATTATCAAATTTTTCATGCCATTGTTTCGGAGCTTGTTTTAATCTATACAAAGACTTAACCAATTTGCAAACTTTATTCTCTTGCCCGGGAGCAGAGAACCCTTCAAGTTGCTCATATGAATTTCTTCTTCTAAATCTCCATTTAGAAAAGCCGTTTTTACATCCATTTGATGTATTTCAAGATTTCATAAAGCTACAATTGCAATAATCACCCTGATGGATGTTATCCTCGTTACTGGAGAATATGTATCAAAGTAATCAAGACCTTCTTTTTGCTTATAACCTTTAATCACAAGTCTAGCCTTATACTTATCAATTGTTCCATCATGTTTCATTTTCCTTTTGAAAATCCACCTGTAGCCTAATAGTTTGCTTCCAGGAGGAAGATCCACTAGCTCCCACGTGTGATTTTGCAAAATGGAATCAATTTCACTTTGGATTGCCTCTTTCCAAAGAGGTCCTTCAGAAGAATTAACAGCTTCTGAAAACGTTTGTGGTTCACTTTCGACCATATAGGTTAGAAAATCTGGACCAAAAGATTTTTCTATCCTGCCTCTTTTGCTTTTCCGAGGTTCTACCTCAGCATCTCCATCTTGATCTTTTTTCATTATTTTCAAATTTCTTTTAGGGGAGCTAGAATCCACTTTAGACTTACGTGGAAATATATGCTCAAAAAATGAAGCATTTCTAGATTCAAGTATCGTGTTCTTATGAATTTCCTCAATTTTGGATTCATGTACGAGAAAACGATAAGCACTACTGTTATGTGCATATCCAATAAATATACAATCAACAGTTTTTGGTCCAATCTTTATTTTCTTTGGCGTAGGTATTGCTACCATTGTCAGACACCCCCACACTCGCAAGTATTTGTAGGATGGTGGTCTTCCATGCCATAATTCATATGGGCTTTTGTCTAACTTTTTACGGGGAACCTTATTTAAAAGATAATTTGCTGACAATACAGCTTCCCCCCACATGTTCTGTGAAAGTCCAGAACTTAACAATATTGAATTCATCATTTCTTTTAAAGTACGATTTTTTCTTTCCGCAATCCCATTTTGTTGCGGTGAATAAGGTGCTGTCATTTCATGTCTTATCCCATGTTGGGCACAGAATTCAGCAAAAGGTGACTCATATTCACCTCCTCTGTCACTTCTTATCACCTTAATCTTTTTATTTAGTTGATTTTCAACTTCATTTTTATAGAGAATAAATTTCTCTATCGCTTCATCTTTACTTTTAAGAAGATACACATAACAAAATTTAGTGCTATCATCTACAAAAGTAATAAAATATTTATTTCCACCACGTGTCGTGACAGATTTTAAATCACATACATCAGTGTGAATTAAATCAAGTGGTTCACTATTTCTTTCAATAGTTTGAAATGGTAATCGTGTCAATTTCGCTTCAACACAAGTTTCACACTTATGTTTTGAATCAATTTGGAACATAGGTATGTTTTTCAATTTTATTAACCTGCGCAGGGTATTACAATTGACATGTCCCAGTCTACCATGCCACACAATGGAAGACTCAAGTATATAAACAGAAGGATTAACATTTTTATTAATTGTCATCACATTGAGCTTAAAAAGCCCAATACATTCATAACCCTTCCCTACAAATGCTCCATTTTTGGTCAAAATGACCTTATCAGATTCAAACACTGCACGAAAACTATGTTTGATCAACAAAGAACCAGACACTAAGTTCTTACGAATTTTTGGTACATAAAGTGCATTATTAAGAGTCAATTCTTTTGCAGATGTCATCTTCAGTACCACTTTTCCCACTCTTTTGATGTCAGAAGTGGCAGAATTTCCCATGAAGTGCTTTTCTCCATCCACCGTCTCGTCAAGGACATTAAACATTTTCTTCTTTGAGCAAACATGACGGGTAGCACCCGTGTCAATCCACCATTCATGTGGATTTGAGCCCACCAGATTACCTCAGATATAACTGTTGCGAGGTGCATCTCATCAACATCTTTGGCCAGGTTTTCCACCATGTGGGCTTCTTGATTTTTCTTTGGCAACCTGCAATCAGATGCCTTATGGCCAGATTTATTACAATTTTAACAATTTCCAGAAATTTTTTTTCTTGAAAATTTGTTTATTTGGCCCCATTACTGCTTTGCCAGTATTGCCACATTTTTTCTTATTATTTTTACGTGAGCTTTCACCGTGCTCGACAACATTGACCTTGGCCAAAGAAGGATTAACCAATTTATTGTCGTAGTCCTTATTGTCTTCTTTAATTCGAAGTCTAACAACGAGCTCTTCAACAGCCATCTCTTTTTTCTTATGTAATAAATAATTTTTAAAATCTTTCCAACTCGGTGGAAGCTTTGCAATTATGGCAGCCACCTGGAAAGTTTCATTCACCACCATTCCCTCGGAATGGATATCATGCAAGATTATTTGAAGCTCTTGCACTTAACTGATTAGAGTCTTCGAGTCAACCATCTTGTAGTCCAGAAACCGGCCTACAAGAAATTTCTTGGCTCCAGCGTCTTCGGTTTTGTATTTTTTATCCAAAGACTCCCACAACTCCTTCGCTATTTTGATAGAACTGTACACGTTGTACAACATATCGGCCAAACAATTCATTATATAATTTCTACACAAGAAATCTGAATGATTCCATCATCAAGCGCACTAACCGCTTGAATATCCGGATTTTCTCCCAACTTTGGAGGATTTTCCGTCAAGAACCTCGCAAGGTTCAACGTAGTGAGATAAAACAGTATCTTTTGCTGCCAACGCTTGAAATTCAAACCGTTAAATTTTTTCGGTTTATCAGCATGATTCACCGGAACATTAACAGAAGGAGAAATAGAAATTGTAGTAGCACCACCGGTATTAGCAACTCCAATAGTATTTTGTTCAGCAGCCATCCTTAAGGAAATCTGTTTTAAGATTGTAAGGAACTTTATCGGGAAATAAAAAATAAGATGACTATAATATATAATACCGAGGCCTGTGTGAACACAGTGTCATTAAAACTGATTCGCCCCGTATGAGCGTCT